CCGGGCTCTGGAGGGCGTAGGGGAAGAGGGACGTCTTCATCTCGGCCATGTTGTGGAGGGCGGCCAGCGGCGCGCTGCTCAGCACGAAGGCGCCCGGGCGGTTAGCCTCCATCGGCCCCACGGCTAACATTGGGGAGCATCAAGGCGCGGCCCGGCGGCGAAGGGGGCGGCGGCGGCTAGCTAACTCAGAGTCCTAGACCAGTAGAGAATGTCTCAAGGAACTGGTTCTTACCTGTTCAGCAATCCCAGTCCTGCGAGGAGTAATTCTTCATTTAGTGATTTAGCCGGTAGTCCAATCTTGCATGCACTTATGCTGTGAGCCTCATCTGGCATGTGCTTAGTCATCTGGTGATCTTAAACCTAACTGCAGTTACCTGTCCAGTAGTCATGGACCTAAATGTCTGCCCACTTGACAATCCTGTTCTTGCCCTTAGCTTCATTTCTGGTGGTCAAGGTCCTATACTAACCTACCAATGGGTTGTCTGGCTACAACTTGCACCTACAAGACCCAGAATCCCCGTTTAGTCCTGTAAGTGACCTACAACACAGGACTGTAACCTGATTGACAGATAGGTCCACTCTGGATATTTTTGTAATACTAACAAAGAGAAAGATCCTGTTTAGAAAAATTGCAATAAAGGAAGATTTGTTCATCTGACTTTGAGTTTAATGTGTGTTTCATGGGACAGTAGAGCTCAGTTGTTTGATGTGTCCCTCCATATCGAAGACAGATCACACACACCTTAAAGACTAATAAGTATAAAAAAGCGAGTTTATAAGAAAATTTTTAAAAATCTAGGTCTAAATTTAAGGAGCCACAAGATTCTTTGACATTTTTGCAGCAGAAGATTAGCATAGCTTGAAAATATAAATAGAGCTCTCTTAAACTCTACTCTCAACTTGGGGTCAAAATGGATAATACAGTTAGCTTATTGTTACAAATGGGCCGCCTTCTCGGCTGTCAAACGGGCGCCGGGGAGCCCCGGACGCGGCGCGGGCACTTGGCAAAAGTTTCTGCGCTCCTCGGGGCGGCTCCTCCTGGCGCAGACTCAGGCGGCACGGGCGGCGGCGGCCAAGGATCGCCGGAGCCCGGTTTGCCCACCAGGGCCAAGAGCCACCCCAAGAGGAGGAGGAGGAGGAGGAGGAGGAAGAGGAGGGCTCCGCAGGCGGGGCGATCCACAGCGCTCAGTCCGGAGGCAGCGCCCGCGTGGAAGACATCAATCTCGGCCGATCGGTCGTCTCGCTCCGGGCCGCGTCGTTCTCTCTTTCCCCCTCCCTCCTTCCCTCCCCGCGCCGGCTTGGTTTGCTTTCTTTATCGATTGACGCTCAGCTTGGAAATCCTCTTTCCGGCGGGTTGGCGGACGGTCCGAAGTCGCGCTCCCTTCCCCCGCTTGGCTTTCGCCCTCCCCAGAAAAAAATTTAGGCCGATCTATAGATCTCGCTCTCTCTCGCTCGCTCTCGCTCTCTCTCTTTCTACGTGCGTCTTTTTCGCTTTCCTTCCCGAGGCCAGACTTTCCCCGCCGGCGAAAGGAACTCAGCGCTGGAGTTCCAGAGCCGGACAAGATGCACTGATAACCTCGCAACCACCTGCCGGCGCCGCTCCCTGATTGGCCGGCCGCTCTTCCGAGGGCGCCGCCATTGGCCAATGGAGCGGCATGCCGCGTTCCCGCTTTGCATCGACGTCATGGAAGTGTGCGCTGGGCGAGGTTTGTGCGGGTTAGAGAGCCGGGAGGGACGGAGGGAAGGAGGGAGGAAAAGAGGAGAAACAGCAGCAGCATTTAATGGAGGCCCTCGTATAAAGTCAAGGTACTTTAAACGACTGTAAATTCACCCCCTGATTTATCATTCAAACGATTAAATAAACCCCGTCGAATGGGCGTTTGGTTAAGCTGAAGCGCTTCCATCTTCCTTCCCCCCACCTTTAAAAAAAGAATCGGCAATAAATAAATGAATAGAGCTTGTATCCGTTATGGCACTGAAACCTTGCGTACGTTTACGAGTAAACAGCCAAAGTCAATTTCTCTCCTTGGAATACTCTCCCCGACCGACATCCCCCTCCAGCCCACCCCGTCCCTTCCTTCTTTCCTAACGTTGCGCAAAACAACAGGAGGGCGAGGGGGAAAGCAAGCGAGGGAGTTTCAGCGGCAGAAGCGGGAGAATATCTTGGCACAGCGCTGAATTTGCCGGTTGTGGCTCCTTCCCCCTCAAAAACTTGCCCGGAGTATTTTCTTCCCGGGTTGCGCTCAGATCCCAGGCTTTCGGTGGCACCCAGAGGCGAGGGGGGCGAGGGGCGCCGCCCCACCCGGTGCCTTCCCGCCTCCAGTAGTGGCGTCCGATGAGGTCCGTCCTGTCGAGGGATCTCGGGGTGACGCTCGCGCGTCCCCGGATTGCCCGGAAGCCCCGATGGGAAAGATATTCGTCGGATCTCGCCAAGCACCTTCGCAACGAGACCTTTTGGCCCTATTGATCCCCTCGCGGACTCTGGTCGCTCAGCTGCTCCCCCTTCCTCCCCCCTCCTTCCCCGCAGTTTGTAACCCACAGGAGCGGAACGAACCGCGCCAATTTTCCCCCTACCGCTTTATGATCTTGTGTTTTTTAAAAATAAATTTATTAAACAAACTTCAGACCTCAACAACATAAACCTAACACCACAATAAAATACGATTACATAATACGCCAGTGCCGCCATCACCCTCAGGGCTAGCATTAATAATATTTTAAATTTCATTCAGTCCATTTTCTCTCCAAAACTTCATTGTTTTTTCCCTGGGTGTGTACCCCTTCCCTCTCCGAAATACATATTCTAAGAATACACCACATATTTTCTTAAAATCATTAGTTTTTGATAGGCCTCTTCTTATTTTCATATCACATTTCAGTTAATAATGAATTGCCATATCCCACAGTTCTCTGTACCATTCCTCTAAATTGAGTTGGTGATCATTATTCTAGTTTCTTGCAAAAATTAACCTTGCTGCTGTAATCATTAAGTCCTTATTTTCTTTCAACAATTGATCCTTCTTAACCAAATTCAATAAAGCCATTGACGGGGATATTTGAATATTTAATCCGGTTATTTCCCTTATTTCTTTCAAAAATTGCTTCCTTTCTTGCTTTCTTAGTTCACATGACCACCACATATGTATATACGTCCCCTTCTCTCTTTTTTACACCTCCAGCATAGTGATGATACATTTTTATTTATTACATTCAGTTTTACCCATGTTAAATACCACCTCCATATTACCCTATAACAATTTTCTCTTATCCTTACAGACATGTTCTTCATAATTCTTTGGTCCCACATTTTATTCCATTCTTCTCCTATTACTTCTTTACCCAATTCATATTGCCAATTGTGGCCGATCTCCAAGAGAAAGCCACGTATGCAATGCTCTCTGACCCCCCCCCCGGTGATCTGAAGGCACTTGGTTGATAACGCCCCTCTCCCCATTGTGAGGACATTTTTCCTAGGGTCCCAAGAGGCATCAGTCACATGAAAACCCTAACCCTGTTTGTTTGTTTTTTAACCCGAGAGGAACTGTGTGTTCGTCTGTGGCGCGGATACCAAAGAAGAGGCCCGCGGTCCCTTTTTAGACCAACAGTTTTTAGCCGGCGCAATTTCTTTTAGGATCCTCGCCTGCTGCAGTTTTATTGCATTTTCACTGAGAAGGCAGGGCCTTCCTCAAGAGTCTTCTTTATTCTGATGCGGCAGAGAATGGTGGCC